AGGAGGGATGAGGTGGTTTTGGAGGAGGCACGGAGGAGGATGAGAGGAGGAGGAGGAGGAGGAGGAGGGCACGGAGGAGGAAGAGGAGGAGGAGGAGAAGGAGGAAAGGGAGGAGGAGGAGGCGGAGGAGGAGGAGGAGGAAAGGGAGGAGGCACGGAGGAGGAAGAGGAGGAGGAGGTGGAGGAGAAGGAGGAATGGGAGGAGGAGGAAGAGGAGGAGGAGGAGGAGGAGGAGGAGGAGGAGGAGGAGGAGGAGGAGGAAGAGGATGATGATGAGGAGGAGGAAGAGGAGGTACGGAGGAGGTACGGAGGAGGAGGAAGAGGAGGAGGAGAAGGAGGAGAAGGAGCCACGGAGGAGGATGAGTAGTAGGAGGAGGAGGAGGAGGAGGAGGAGGAGGAGGAGGATGAGGAGGAGGAGGAGGAGTTACGGAGGAGGAGGAGTTACGGAGGAGGAGGAGGAGAAGGAGGAGGAGGAGAAGGAGGAGGAGAAGGAGGAGGAGGAGTTGATGGAGGAGGGGGAACGCGCGGGGACTCCCTCTCCTTTTCCTCCTTGTCCTTTCCCTCCGCGCTTTTTTTTCTCCGCTCATCGCCCCTCCTGTCGTATGCGTTACTTGTGCCTTGTTTGGGTGGCTTCATGGCAAAGTTGTGCCTGGGCGTCAGCTCTCGTGCCACGTGTGGTCGCGCCACCGTCAGGGCGATGGTATCGGATCTCGGGACCAGCCAAGAGTTGCCAAAAGTGTCCAAAAGATGTCCTCATCACCCCACCTCAGTCAGCTCTCCCTCCCCACCCCCTCTCCCCCCATCCTCCTTCGCCCCCTCCTTCCTTCCCAACCGGCGGTAAGGCCCAGGACCCCCAGGCCAAGTTGGTCGAGGAGGCGAACCAGGAGTACGCCGACGCGCTGAAGACGGAGAAGGCGTCCCAGACCCGCGGGCGAGGACGGAGGAGAAATGAAGGACGACGAGGGAGGGATGGAGGAACGCGCAGGGCGGAGTGAGGCGGAACGGGGAGAAGACGCTGGTGGAGGAAGACAGACGTACGGACGAGGAGGAGGAGGAGGAGGAGGAGGAGGAGGAGGAGGAGAGTCGAGGGAGGAGGAGGAGGACGAGGAGGAGGAGGAGGAGGACCAGTGTAAACCCAAGAGTCATCAACGATGTTGGAATACACCCTCCCCCAAGCTCCCTTCTCATATGCGTCTGCAGCGGTTCATTTCCACTGACGGAGCTGCCTCGTTGGAAGACAACCGTGTGAAGACCTGGACGCATGCCAAAACATTGTTCTCGGGATTCCCACGCCACGGATCAACCCAACTGCTGCGTCTTGACGAGCTTGAATCGTGCCATAACGCCATTCTTGGGACTTCAACACCGCGAACCAACGTAACTGTTGCACCCTTCATAATATTGAATCCTTCCAGAACGCTATTTCTGGTACGCTGATCACGGAAATTCGCTCTTGTAAAGTTAAAAACGGATGTGCGCGGCGCTAAGGCGAGAGCCACACTTTGGGAAGGAACCGCCCTCAATCCGTGAAGTTCTGGCAAACAATTAAAAACGAATGTGCGCGGCGCTAAGGCGAGAGCCACACTTTGCGAAGGACCCGCCCTCAATCCGTGAAGCGTTTGCAACGTTTTGAAACGAATGTGCGCGGCGCTAAGGCAAGAGCCACACTTTGAAAACGGCCCGCCCTCAATCCGTGAAGCTCTTGCGAAGTTTTACAACGAATGCGCGCGGCGCTAGGGCAAGAGCCACACTGTGAAAACGACCCGCCCTCAATCCGTGGAACTCTCGCAAGTCTTCACAACGAATGCGCGCGGCGCTAAGGCGAGAACCACATTTTGAGAACCACCCGCCATCCATCTGTGAAGCTGTTTTCACTCTTTAAGCCTCAGGGCCATGTATGGTGAGGAAGTCTCAGGTGAAACGCCCGGCCCGCCCCAAACGCTGGCCTCGGGGTGCGACAGGGAGAAGTTGTTTATAAGGAAAAGGGATGGAAGTGGAGAGGAGGAGGCGGATGAGCGAACATATGCTTGCTGGAGTTCACCCTCGTGTCCGTTATAGTGCCAACTTTATCCTCGTGCTCGTCTCCGTTACCGTGCTATCGCTGTTTCCTCGTCATTCTACTTCTCGTCCTGATTCGTCCTCGCTCTTGTACTCGCCCTTCTCGTCGCCATCCTCCTCCCCAGAGGGTTTCAAAGCGGGCTACGACGCAGAGGGAGTGGCCCAGCCCCCTGCTCTTGAATCAAGTTCTTGAAGTTGGGGAAAGAGACCATCGGAGAGAGCCGTTACCCCCTCCCAGCCCTCTTCTTGTTTGTCCTCGTCCCCCTCCCTGTCCTCGTCTGCCTTCTCGTCCTCATCTTCCTCATGCGCCTCCCTCCTCTTCCTCTTCGAGTGCTTCGAGAGTCTGAAGCGCTCCAGCTGTGACTTGTATCCAGGCTCGATCGCCCCGACCCGGCGGCAGCAACCGACACTCGTAGGGTGAGGATTCGGGCAGCCTTTCTTGCCAGAGTGGGCTTCTCCACTGAACCCGCATGCTGCTCTCGTCTGTGCCTTCTCTCTGCTCCCTGCCCTCTTGTCTCGAGCTCCCCCCCCCCCTCCTTCCCTCAAGCGTCCATCCTCCGACTACCTTTGTTCCCAATCGCCCTCTCCCTCATCCCTTCCATCCCTCCCTGCTTGAGAAGGCGAAACCCACCCCCACCCCCAGTCCCGACCCCATTTCCGAACCCTCGATCCGGGGGGTCGGGACTGGGGGTGGGGGTGGGTTTTCGGGGTCCAGGGACACAGAAAACCCACCCCCACCCCCAGTCGCTGGGGGGTGGGCGTCGGGACTGGGGGTGGGGGTGTGTTTTCGCCTTCTCACTGCTTCCTGCTCCCTCCCTCTCTCCATTACTCCCTCCCGCCTCCTTCCCACGGGCGCCGGTGTTCGATCGGCCCCGCAGGTGCGCGTGGACCTGCGAGAGGCCCTGGGGCGCCGCCGCCCCCCTTCTTCTGTGTGCCGGGGAGCCATTGAGTCCGAGAAGGAGGTGGGGACCATAATCGTAATCAGGACGACCAGGAGGAAGAGAGCAGACATGATGATGCAGAGGACGAGAAGCGAGAGAACGCGGTTGAGGAGTGGATAGATCGGGCGAAGGAGAAGGGAAAGAAGGCGGCGGACAGAAAGGAGGGCGTGTTGGGGGAGCAGGAGGAGGAGGAGGAGGAGGAGGAGGAGGAGGAGGAGGAGGACAGGGTTCTTCTCCTCCTCCTCCTCCTCCTCCTCCTCCTCCTCCTCCTCTCCAGGTGCCGCGGGCAGGGTTACTCCCGCCTTCGTGGGCTACTATTATATGTCTGTCTCATGGCCGTTCTTTTTCCGCACCCGTCCGCGGCATAATTCGTTTGCTACCTTGCCTACGTCGGCGACGGTTCTGCATCACTGCAGAACTCTGCGAGCCCCGTGCTTGACGTCCGATCAACGTCAAAAAAAAAGGAGGAGGTGGAGGAGGAGGAAGAAGAGGAGGAGGAGGAGGACGAGGAGGAGGAGGAGAAGGAGGAGGAGGAGGGAGGAGAGGGTTCTGCTGCCTGGGAGTCACCAGTTTATCTACCGAGCTGTCGCGATCGCAGTCCCATTGCAGGATTAGAAGGAGGGTGGAGGTAGGAGGGAGGATGGGTACGGATGGTTACGGCTGGCCTTGATTTCTTTCTGTTGCGCATCGGTTCTGGATCAGGCATCTAATGATGCAGTCTGCGTGGAAGCGAGAGACATATTTCCTTCCTTCCTCCTTTGCCTACGCGTCTCGCTCCCCCCTGCTCTCTCCGTGCGTCAAGATGCTTGGTGCACGTCTGTATGTCTTTGATGGCTTAGCCCTCGTCGTAAGTACTCAACTGGCCCTCGAGCCTATCGAATGGCCTTCGGCCCATCCCGACACCGTGCCTGGGTTGTGGGCCATAGGCATTTAGGATGTTCGTTGGGATGTCGCTGAGGGCCTCTTGGAGGCCGTTTGGGGCCCCTTGGCGCGTCTTGAGGGCCTCTTGGGAGTCTCTCGGGGCTTCTTGGGAGCCTCTTGGCGCCTCCTTGGGGCCTTCTGGGGGCCTACTGGGGCGGAAGACTAGGATTTTCAGTCCGTGTTCCCCTCTTGGGCCCTTCTTTGGGCTGTCCTAGGGCCCTCTTGGGCCGTCCTGGGCGCCTCTGGGGCCGTCCTGGAGCTATCGTGGGCCGTCTGGGGGCTCTCTTGGATGTCTCTTGGGCCGTTCTGGGGCGGTCTTTGGGGCCTCATGTGCTGTCTTGGCGCGTTGGAAGCTGGAAAAGTCGAGGACCCCCAAAACATGGAGAAACCCAAGGACGCCAATGGTTTTGGCCTCTCGAGACCCTCTTGGGAAGGTTCCTAGGGCTCTCTTGGGGCGCATCGAAGGCCTCTTGGGCGGCCTTGGGGCCCTCTTGGGCCGTCCTGGGCGCCTCTGGGGCCGTCCTGGAGCCCTCTTGGGCCCTTTGGGGACCCTCTTTGGGGCCTCTTGGGCTGTCCTGGGGCTGTCTTGGGGGCCCCATGGGCTGTCTTGGAGTGTTGGAGGCTCGGAAAGTCGGGGCTACCAAAAACATTGAAACCCAAGGACCACCAATGATTTTGGTCTCTCGAGACCCTCTTGGGAAGGTTCTTGGGGCTCTTCTGGGGCGTCTCGAAGGTCTCTTGGGCCTTCTTGGGGCCCTCTCGTCGGACTGATCATGTGACGATTCGGGGCCTTCTTGGACCGTCTCGGGCCCTTCATGTGGCCATCCTGCGGCCGAAAAGTCACGCGAGAAGATGCGGAGCGCCCCGAGGGATTTGTGAATTTGGGGCCCGGAGCGTCCGCACCACCTTGCGATGAGCCAGGCCGCGCGCAGCAGCGACCAGCTGCTCCAGCGCGCGCGCTTCTGCCCCGCGGCCGCGCCTGCTGCCAGCGGCTGCGCCACCAGCGGCTGCGGGGGCCCCAGTGCTGCCACGCCAGGGGCCGCTGGCGCTGGCGCCTCGGCCTCGGCCGCGCCCGCGCCCGCCGCTGCATCCCCCGGCTGCTGCGGACCCGCCAGCAGCCCATCCACCAGTGCGCCCAGTGCTGGCGCAGGCGGCTGGGCTAGCGCCGCTCGGGGTGCTGGTGAGGCCACCCGGCGGCCCCCCGCCAGCGGCGCTGGAGGGACTCCCTCCGCAGGCAGCACCCAGGAGCCGTCCCGGCCCTTGCGCCAGCCCGCTGGCGGCATGCTGGATGCCCTCACCCTCGCCGAAGATGCCCTCCGGGAAGTAGTTGGGCAGCTTCTCGGCCGCCTCGCGGATGAGCGGTGCGATTCCTCGCTGCTCAGCCTGAGCCAGGACCCTGGAGGCGGTGACAACGTCCACGTAGATGCGGAGGCTGGACTCTGTGAGCCACCGTCCTGCCTCCTTGATGTCCTGGAAGGGGACACCACGAGCCACGGAATCGCTGGCGAACCCTGCGCGCGCCGAGTGAGGCGTCCAGTGAATGTCGAGGCCCAAGGCTGCTTCAAACTGCTTGAGCCGACGCCTGTAGTCGACGAGCGAATAGGGAAAGAGGAGCCCCTCGGGCGGCGTTCCCAAGACCACTCGGTGTAGGAGGTTCTCCAGTACTCCGCCCTGCTCCAAAATAATGGCGAACTGCATTCTTTTGGCCTTTGTCCCCGACTTGGCCCCCAAGTTGATAACCCAATTTGGCTGCAGATCAGGTCCCCCTCTAGACGATGGCAAGGATATGTCTTTTGCTCTGAGCTGAAGCATCTCCGACGGGCGCAGGCCGCGGTCCACCTGCAGTAGCAGGCCTACGCCCAGCCGCGGCACGCCCCAGCAGGAGAAATAGATAGCGGCCAGGTTAGCCGGCGCGCGGCCGAGCGGCGGCGCGTGCTTCACCTCGGCCGACACTCGCCATGCATCGATCACCGAGTGGGACCACGTCAGCTTCCTTCTCAGGCGTGGGAAGACAAACTCCACCGCCGCGACGGCGTACTCGAAATTGCACTTGGTCATCTGCATGTCGTTCTTGTACTCGACAAGCAGGTCGTCCCACTGCTCGGGCCCGTCGGGGACGAAGCCGTGCTCGTCCAGGTAGGTCACGAACTTCATAGCCGCTGCCCTGTAGGCCGCCAGGGTGTGCGGCTTAACCTTCTCAACAGAAGTGCTGTCCAGCTTCCTCGGCCCCGACATGAGGTAGGCCGCGGAGCTCAGCACGAGTCAGGCACCTCGATATCTTATCAGCAGGCTGCCTGAGCGTCTCCACCCATGGAATCAAAATCTTTGTACGAGATGCTAACCCTGCTGCGGTCTTCTGACGCAACAGGTGGTTCAAATGGTGCGCCGGGGACCTGCCCTTGCATACCGCGCCTGAGACTGGCTGGTTGTCCTCCAGGATCGGCAGCACGGTGCGGTGGAGGGCAGGAGTGGCGGCCGCCAGTCTACTGATCTTCACGACGCAGCGCCCCTCGCCCAGCGTGATGTGGTCGGCCGTCCGCCACCTCCCCGCTCCTACGATCGTCCAGTCCTCGTCGGGCTTGAACACGCGATCGGGCAGGAGGCTGAAGGGCTTCGTCCGTCGGATGACCTGCTCGGGGCGCCGCAATCCAGTGAGCTCGCCGTCCAGTCGCGCCACGGTGTAGCCCAAGTTGCCGCCCGTGTCGATGAAGTCCTTCGCGATGTCCTCGCTCATGTCGGTCACCAGGATGCCCCAGCCGCCGTCGTCCTCCACGTTGGCGCCCATGGCGTCCGCCGCGAAATACACGGGGGCTGGCGGGGCTCCCAGGTCAGCGTACATCAGCGGGACTACCCGAGCCATAGCTCGCAGCTCCCTGCGGACGGTCGCCCAGGTACACACCCGCTGGTGCGGGTGCCTCTCCAGGAGCCTGAAGACGGCGCTGGGTATGCATAGCAGCTCCCTCCGAAGTAGTGCGCCCCAGATCCACACCCCCAAGAGCGAGCGCAGCTCCTCGGTGTGGAGGGTGCGGGTGGCGCCCATCTCCTCCAGCTGCTGCACCAGCTCCCGTGCCCTCTTCGGGGGCAAGCGCAGCTGCGCTGGACGCGCCTGTGGTGCGTAGCCCAGCACCTTCTGCATGTCGCTAGCCTCCGTGCGGTCGGTGACCACGAAGCCGGCCTCGGCCAGGGCATCCGCGAGCTGGTGCATCTTCCCAGTGGCCCGTGGGCCACAGCCGCTGCCACCGGCCATCACCACCCCGTCGTCGACATGCAGGTAGAAGGCCATCTGCGGCCCGTCCAGCACCAGCCCACGACCGCGAAGCACGTCCTCGTTCCGCACGGCCACCGCGGGTGCCGTAGTGCTCCGCGAGCTCCAGGCGGTGACCGACCTGTCGGCCTCCGGCGGCCTTCGCCACCCGGTGCCGCCCAAACCGGTCTGCTCGAAGATGGCCAGGGTCTGGACAACCAAGGAGCCCAGCGCTTCGCACATCCCCTCGGGGTACTGGGCCAGTGGGCTCGTGCGGAAGGTGCCGTCGGCCAACTTGCCCTCGGCCGTCTCGTGGGCATGGGACCCGTCACACCGCAGCTCATCCAGGTCCTTCAGTCCCTGCAGCGTGCCGCTCAGGCATGTGGGCTTCTTCGTCCGTCCGCCCAGCATGCACTGGTCCAGGCACGCTCTCCGAGACGAGCGCCTCGTCTCGAAGTCCAGCATCTCCGTCGTGTTCCAAATGGATGGGTAGGGCGCATGCCCTGGGTCCTCCGGGTGCTCGATGAGGAAGGCGCCGCCACTCTGGCCGCACGCCTCGCAGAGCGCCAACAGGTTCAGCGTCAGGGTGTTACTCTCCGCGACTCTAGCGGCCTCCCAGGCCCTGAGACCTGGCAGCCCCCAGGGGCACCGCCGCGAGCGCACTGGCGGCGGCCCAGGTCGGCGACGGTTGTAGCGTGCCCGCGACCAGGTCGAACAGGGCGGGCCGCCAAGTACGATGTCCACCCAGCCGCCCTCGCACAGCTCCATCAAGGCGGAGAAGGTGGAGGGGTTGGCCAGGTCCCACCGCGGGTCGTCCAGGAGATCGGCGGAAAGGAAGAGCAACCTCAGGCTCCGCTCCTTCGCCAGCCTCTCTACCACCTCCTGAACGTCACCACGCCGACGACGGCCAGCGAAGAGATGCATCACCACCATCACACGCTCGTCGTCCCTCTTCGCCCGCCTCACGGCCTCTAGCCACTCCGCCACGCTGTAGCCCGTCGGGCTAGGCGGCGCGGCACGGCAGCTGGACTGCTGCCCGAGCCAGTCGTCGTCGTAGCGATGCTGCTGTGCGTCCTCAGGTCCGGCATCCCCGCGGTCGCCAGCCTCCAGCCCCCCGTCCTCGGGCGGCGAGGTGCGTGGCACACCGCTGGCCTCGCCGTCGGCGGGAGCCGCGGCGCCCGCGAGCGCCCCCAAGCGTGCGCCCACACCCAGCAGTGCCCTGCCGATGATCGCCATGTTGACCGTCATGAGCAGGTGCACGGAGTGCGAGCCGCCCATGGCCAGGCGGTGGTAGCAGGGGGCTATCCAGCCCGTCGGCCCCACCATGTCTCGCAGACGCTGGCTGAGCTTCCCCCACACCCAGCAGGCGCGGATCGGCGGGCATGCCTGCCACTTGGCCATCCAAGCGGGGACGCGGAGGCGGGTGAAGGCGTTGTCCTCGTCGAACGCTGCTACGCCCCACTCGTCCGTCGGGACGCACATGGAGGCGATGGCCGCTCCGCCGTGCATCCCGTGGTCTCCGCGCTGGTGGGGGTCGGCCCACACGTAGTTGCTGGCACACATCATCAGGACCTTCCGCTGCTTGGTGGGGTCCTTCTTGGGCACACAACTGAACCCGCAGTAGGCCTGGACGTCGTCGGGGTCCTCGAACGTCCACATGTCCTTCGGCAGATCGGCCCGCATCAAGTAGCGGGCGTACTCGGACGTCGAGCCCCCCACGAAAGCGAAACGCTCCTCCAGCTCCTCGAAGAGAACTCCCGACTTGCCGCTGTAGTCCAGAACGTTCAGCTCGTCCGAGTAGTACTGGCGCTCGCCGTCAGGCAGCGCCTCCAGCAGGTCCACGACCATGTCGTCAGGAGGTTCTGCAACCGCCGCTGCGCACATCATCACGTGCCTGCTCACACCCTTGCGCTCTCCAGTGTAGGCGTCCTGCGGTCCTCTGTCGCAGGCAAGATCCGTCCCTTGACCGCCTGTCGGGGCAAGCCCCCGGCAGTCGCGCTCGTACCGCGCTGCGTCCTGTAACGCATACTGCTGCACGAGCTGCCAGGCCAGCATCATGTCGTCGTCGCTCGACTCGCGCTGGCCCGCTGGTCTCGCCTCCAGGGATCCGCGGTCCATCCCGTTCATGAGCTCGATGAGCCCACAGGCCCGACGCCACACACGCATGCGTCGAGCCCAGCGCGTCCTCAACCTGCCGGAAGAGGAAGCTCCTTGTTGTGGCCGATGAGGTAGAGGTACGGGAAAGAACGACCTGGCCTCGGCCTCCTTCCACTGCAGGGCCCGCGTCAGCGAGCCAGGCAAACCCGTCACTGGCATTCTAGGCTGCACCCGCGGCCACGGGGCACCTTCTCGGACCGAGGGAGGGTCGTAAGCCCCTCGGTCCGCCAGTGGCTGTCAAGCCTGAGGCTTGCCTCGGCCCGAGGGCTTACCCCCTCGGCCGCGGCCGCGCCCCCCGCCATCGCCACCTCTGCCTCCGCCCGCTGCCTCGGCGCCGCCGCCAGCTCCACCTCCGTGGCCACCACCACGGCCGCCGCCTCGGCCGTCGTGCTTGCTGGCGGCATGGACCCTCTCGTCGCGCTGGTGCTCAGCCTTGCTGTGGGTCGTGGCCTCGGTCACCAGCCATGTGGGAGCCAAGTCGGCGGCCGACCCGGGCGGGCGGACAGCCAGCATGGCCGCCGCCCCCACCTTGTCCTTCGTCCGCATCTCGTAGACGTAGCTCGCCAGCCGCCTCAGGTGCAGCTCCAGCGCATCGTCGGACGCCAGGCGGGTGAGCAGCTCGGACTGGGTCTTGCACCCGCCCAGCAAGTAGTCCACGTTGGTGGCGGCAGTCCACAGGTCGGTCCAGACCGCCGTGTGTCGCTGGCCCGTCACTTCCTGCGACAGCCAGTCGCGTGCGCTAGCCGCCCCCGCGCCCCGCATGGTGCGGTAGATCTCCGGCGCCGCGCGCCGCAGGTCCGGCGGGAGGCTGAGGTTCCATCGGCTGTCCTCCTGCTGCTGCCGGGTCTGCGGGGCCACGGCCCACCCAGGGGAGGCGTGCATGCCCCCGCCGTGCGGCGCCGTGGAGGAGGAGAGCAGCGCGTCCAGCTCCTGCTGCAGCGATCCTCCTGGCGGGGACTTCGTTCCCGCGCCCACGTAGCCGTGGGTCTGCAGCACTCGTCGGAGGTCAGGGTGCAGCCCCAGGGAGCCATCCACAGCCGCGATTCTCTCCCAGAAGTGCCAGGCCCAGTACACGTTCGTGGCCGCCTGCGCTTGGAACTCGCGCAGCGTGGCGCCCACCATCTGCACCTCGCGCCCTAGCCTCACCGCGTCTGCAGGAGCATGAGGCGCGTGGAAGCTGAGCCCCGACGCTGGCACGGCCACCTCTGGGTTCGGCTGTGGCTGCTGCTGCTGCTGCTGCTGCTGCAGGGCCGCCGTCTGGCTGAAGGGGCCTGGCACCTCGCTCCCCTGGCCGAACGCCCGCAGCGCCGCCAGGTCCTGCGCGCCGGGCTTCGCCGTCGCGGCGCCCGCGCCCGCGCCTTCGGCAGGTGGGGCCCATGGCGGAGGCGGCAGTGCTGCGAGCCCCGGGGGGTGCAGCGGGCCCGTAGGTACCTCCGCGGCCCCCGAGCCGCCCCCCTTGGTCGTCGGGGCCCCCGGCGCGTCCCAGGCCGCGCTGTCGTCCTCGGCGGCGGTCAGGTCCAGGCCGTCCCCGCCGCTGCTCAGCGCCGCGGCGAAGGCCGAGCGCCGCCTCCAGCGTGCCCACCAGGCAACCACACGCTCGGGCACGCGCCGTACGAGCAGGACGGTACCACACAGCCCTACAGCTGCGCCTGCCAGGCGGTGCCGCCCGGAGTCGGCCCCCAGCACCACCACCAGGCTGGACAGGAGGAGCCCTATGCCCAGGTGCAGCAGCCAGTCGGTGGGCAGCGTGCCACCGTCGTCGCCGACTGCACGGGCCCAGATCCGATCCGCGATCTTTTCCCAGCCATCGGTGTCGGCCGCCACTCGCCTGATCCGACTCTCCGCCTGCGTGGCGTATGTGGCGGCCTCTGTGAACCCCCAGAGGGCCTCGGCCATCTCGGAGCCCGGGACCTCGGGGTTCCCCAGCGCCAGGCGGACGGCCACCGGGTCCAGCGCTGACTCCAGTCGTCGTGCCTCGTCCAGCTTCGAACGGGGGGCTCGCCCCGCGTTCAGCGTCGACCTCACCTTCAGGACGAGGCCAGCGACGTCGTCGTCCGTAACGTCAGCACCAGCGGCCCGCAGCGCGTCGGTCCCCGCCTTCTTGGCTCCTGCCGACACTGCCATCCAGCTCTGCCTGGCGTCGCCGCGCCTTCGGCGCCCGGCGCCCAGCACACCAGCTCACCGCGGCCTGCTGCGCCTGGGCAGCGCGCCGCGGCCTCGCACAATCTTCGATTCCACGGGTGGAGTCCGCTGCTCCCGTCAGGGCGCCATGCCGCGCCCTGCTGCGAGGTGGGCTGGGCGCCCAGTCCTCGCGATAATCTGTACCAGATTAGAGCCACATGAAACGGTTGCGGAGCAGGCCGTGCAGCACACGCGAGGGCAGGGGGGCCTTCACGGGCAACCAAAACCAAACCTACCGAGCCCACCCGTTTTGGAGGGCCGAGGGGAGCCAGGCCGGGAACGTGGCCCACCGGCGAAAAGGCCCCCCAACAAGCTGGCACGCCCCTGCGGGCTCCGAGGCTCCAAGGAAAATTCCAGGATCCCACCCCAAACTGTCGGTGCACATCAACACTCATGCTCTACGATTATTATCCCATCATCATCATCATCATCATCATCATCATCGTCATCATCACCATCATCGTCGTCAACCGTAGCCATTTTGGCTCAGTGGACCACGGCCCGCCGGGCCAACAAACATGGAGCTGCGAGTCGGAGGCAAGTTCCGTCTGGGCCGCAAGATCGGCTCGGGGTCCTTCGGAGATATCTACATCGGCACCAATGTGACTACGGGTGAGGAGGTTGCCATCAAGCTTGAGTCGATCAAGTCTACGCACCCGCAGTTGCCACACGAGTCGAGGGTGTATAGGATCCTCGCTGGCGGCGTCGGCGTCCCGAACCTGCATTGGTACGGCGTGGAGGGCGACTACAACGTCATTGGCATCGACCTGCTCGGCCCATCACTCGAGGACTTATTCAGTTTCTGCAACAGGAAGTTCAGCCTGAAGACGGTCCTGATGCTCGCGGACCAGATGATCAACCGCGTGGAGTACGTCCACGCCAAGAACTTCATCCATCGCGACATCAAGCCCGACAACTGCCTCCAGCTGGACCACGTGGTGGTGGCCAGCAACATCCAGCCTCTGCTCGAGATCGACGGGCAGATCCCGATGACCTTCAAGAGCACGGCGGAGGTAGCCGACCTCATCGCGTTCACGGCGAAGAGGGAGACGAATTGGATTAATTCAAGCAAAGACACAACCTTGGCAAGCAACGTCGAGACCATGAAGACGGAGCCCGAGGTATACCAGGAAGGCGTCTCCAGCGAGGCGGCCATGTCAGACGAGAAGCGTGAACGTTCTTGTACGACAATTCCATTGTGGGTGACGAGCTCAGTGTTTTTACTGACTATTACCTTCTTCTTGATGTGGGGCATCAAGTGCATCGTTTCAAGCATCATGACAATGGGTATCATGATGATTTCGAACCTTGACTACACCTACAGTATCTCAGAGATACCGTGTGCTGGTTCAGATTTTGACATGGGCAACTTCTTTTCCGAGGTTGGCAATTTTGACTACGATCTCACGTTCACGATGATCCTTCGCAACGTCATCATGACAACGGGTATCAAGATGATTTCGAACCGTGACTACACTTACAGTATCTCAGAGATACCGTGTGCTGGTTCAGATTTTGACAGGGGCAACTTCTTTCCCGAGGTTGGCAATTTTGAATACGCTCTCATCTGTACGATGATCTGCTGCAACATCATCATGATAATGGGTATCAAGATGAAATCGAACTCAGTTTACCACGAGTATGGCGATCTATGCTCATGGATTGGTTCAAATTTTGACAGGCTAGACTCGCATATGGGGTCAGGCATCAGGACGCACATGAATGTCAGTTATTGTCGGACAGCGATGTTGATTCTAATGACAGACATCATTTGGATTCAGAAGACGGACTACCACACGAACATCAGGAACTACTATTGCACTATGAGGGAGAGTCAAGGGCAGCCACAGCCTGTGTCTCTTCCTTACTGGGCAGGTGTTAACCTGGAGGCTACAACAGCCTGGGAGACGGACAGCACAACTCCCACCGACGAGTGCATCCCTCCCACTTCATCCAACGACGGGCCCTTCACTGGCCTTATCAACTGCAATATGAGGGAGAACCAAGGGCGGCCATGGCCTGTGGATCTCTCTGGCTGGGCAGGTGTTAACCTGGAGGCTACAAACGCCTGGGAGACGGATGCCGATCAGTGGCCTATCCCTCCCACTCTCTCCAATGACGGCTCCTTCAGTGTCTCATGGACAGCAGCTCGGACCTCTTGGTTCCGAAAGGTCAAGAACGCCAGATCCCACCAGACGCAGCAGGACGCCCAGTCTCAATATCACGCCGAACACGGCAATACGCCCCCGGCACGCAGGTCAGGCTTCGCACCGAAGACAGGATCAGCTGCTCGGATCAGTGCCAACACTCGGACAGTCAATATTATGTGTGCTGCCACTGCGACTACGCTCACGGACAAACAAAAGAAGCAGTTGGCCAGCGACTCGAAACAATTCAGTATGCTATACAAACTTTTCTCAACGGACTTCGATTCCAAGAAGGCTGAAATCAAAGCTAAACTGAACGAATGGTCACAGGACAACCCTCCACGAGGAGACGACGGCCAACCCTCGACCAAGCGACCCAAAAAGAAAAAGACTCCGACAACGCAGAACGGGGACAAGCCACCACCGAACGAGCGACTCCACGAGAGCGGCCTCCGACTGCGGAACTTGTGGGAGCTCCCTGTCTTAGACGAGCCACCGACATCAGAGTCCAGCGGAATCTACCTCGCTAAGTCTGACGCAGATGTTATCAGTATAATGGAATGGATCGACAAGAACAACACGGACTATCCCAATTACGTGGCTCTATCGGTCTCAACTCCTTCCGAATGCTTGAAAGCAGCAGCTATCGCCTACGACATCAAGCCTGTGCCATATCAGCTCCCAATAACTAAGGAGACCACGAACATTGACGGAACCGCCAAGTCGATCGTAGGCACTCGAGACGGTTATCTTTGGAGCATCCCACCTACCCTCAGCGACGACCCTTTGGAACCTCCCAAGTATCGAGCCACGGCACCTGCAGCTCCAGCATGGTCCAAAGGATTCTCCAACTCGATCGCTGTAATTTCAGAAATACATGCAGATGAGATCTACAAGACTCTTCTCAAACAACACAAGCTTGGCTCTTCTTCTTTGGACAAATTGAGAAATCGCGTCAATGAGTTAGATGCTGAGGCTAAGAAACACAATTGGAAAGTGGTACGAGCTGCCAAACAAGAGGCAAAGGACTTCCTCCAAGCACACATTACGAAGGTCTACTCTGCAGCTACAGCGACAGACCTGGATATTACGATCAACTCCATCAAGCAATACGACGGAGCTGCTAAAGGACAGGCCTCGCTACGTATCGACGTGACGACCACATCTTCAATGGCGCGCACTCTTCGGCAATCATCAGGCACTGACGGGATCTTCTTTGACACGGCAGGTTATGACGAGATTGGCAAGACACGCGAGCGCACAACTGAGACCTGGATTCCGCTACGGGCCAAACAGACGGGACACTGGACGACGCAGGAGGCCCATGAGGAACTGGGCAAAATATCTGAGCCCACGTACGGAATGAAATTGTGCCGCGATGGGGTGACTATTAAATTGAGGATTCGGAAAGAAGACACTACTGCAGGGTGGCAACTCATCAGGAAAGAGGACGCCCCGCCAACTGACCGATATCTTCTCGACAAGATACCTGCTGGGACGCCGACCGAGGCTATTCCAAAGTTACGTCTGGAGACCCTGGCTTGGGTCGTGCAGTATCCTTCGGCACAGCGGAGAGGAAAATATCTACGAGTAACGGTCAAGGCCCATGTACCCCCACCAGGAGGCACATTCTTGATGGGAACGCACATGGTCACCATCACAAAGCTGACGGACAAGTCGCAAGTCATGGATGTCGATGAGGATCCCACCTCTGTCTTTCTGAAGGACTCGACAAAAACGGTGATGAGCAAAGACAAGGCCGCATCAGTTATCATGAATAAAAAGCACACGGCAGCGACATCTGCGATGAAACAGTTCGCCTTTGCGGTTTTGGAACAGAGGAATGGATCGTATTATACAGCCCCCATGAGGAGACAAGTACCATCCGAGACTGCACCACAGGATGTAGCCCAACCTGTTTCTGCCTTTCAACAAGCCGTCGATGACAGAATGGACGCACGCAATGCAGAGCTCAAAGCAGCCATGGACGAGGTGCGCACGTTGAAGGCACAACTATCAGCTGAGTTAGCCGTCTTGCGACGTCGCAACGATGGGAGAAGCCGCAGCCCGACTCGCAATGGCGCAGCCTAACTTCAAAGGTACGGCCACGATCAAGAGTGACAGGCTGGTCCTGATCTCGGCCAACATCACATCTTGGAAAAAGAATATCACTTCCTTATTTTCACATCCTGCTGATCTCTATGTGGTTCAGGAGACACGGCTAACGGCCTTGGCTACGGAACGTGCTGAGAGTTTGGCAAGAACAAAGGGCATGACCTTCTTAGGAGGCAAGCCTTTACCTGTAAAGCAGCTTCGTCCCAAGACATCTCCGACTATGGAATGTACAGCCATCCACGGTGGGGTTGCCATTATGGGACGGCCTTCCTTCAACTTACAACCTTGTGCTGCACGAACGACAGCAGCCAAGCAAGTATATGAATTATCACGACATATGCGAGCGGTCCTTCCTGTGTACGCAGGAACGAGCACGGCATCTACACACTTTCTTCACCTGGTCTCGTTTTATAACGACGCAGATCACGGCCCAGCGGCTACACTACGTAAGGAACGGCACTTAGACAAAGTTCTGGAAGATGGGATCAGCTGCGGCGAACAGCCAGTCATCATCTGTGCCGACACGAACGTCACTGACAGATCGGTCGTTCTCCAGGACGCGATCGCTACAGGATTATATATAGACATTGGTGCTCGGTTCGCTATCGGAGGACCTCCTGCCCCGACATACTGCGGAAAGGACTTCGACAAGTGGGATCGAGAGAGCCATGGGAAATCCATCACCCGTCCAGATCGGATCATAGCTAACAGAGCTGCAGCACAGTTGATCACCAAATTTGAGGTCATTAGAGACGCTAAGCTGCCCAGCCACTTGCCGATCAGGATCGAAATCTCCACTCGAGCGTTGTCTCAATCACGATGGACAATTCAAGTACCGAAGGCTTTTCCGTTAGATCGAGCTCCACCACTCGACGAGGACACGGAGGAGACTTATCTCAACGAGTTATTTACCACACACCAGGCTGAGATCACGCAAGCTCGGAACGTCCAGGACGCAGAGCTCATGATGACCTTGGCCACGACACTAGCGGAGAAGTACCTCACAGAACGTTGCAAAGGTACAGCTTCGGACAACGGCGCAAGCGGAAGATGTACCACGGTTCGCCTTCACGAAGAGCCCCTGGCATGTCCTGCATCAACTCGCTCCTGCGCCTCAGACCCTTGGACCCAAAAGGCTTCCGCTTTACACAAAGCACTACGCCGGGTACATGAACTCGTTAAGAAACATCAGCGAACAGGTCAACCTTCCTTATGTTTACGTACGGAGATGATCAAGCTGTGGCGAACGACGGTCCACGACATTCAGAAGATTGGTATCACGGATACGTTGTTTGTCAAGCCTTGGATCACATTATCAGAAGCTGAAGCTCTCATCCCACGAATTCAGGCACAGATCACGAAATATGAGGATGTGGCAGTCAAAACACGAATCAAAATATGGAGGGCCAAAATGTCTGCGGCCATGACAGGATCCTCCACAGCATCAGATCGACGAACCCTAAAGAATCATATGAGACCTCCTCGGGATGAGCCGATTACTGCACTCGCATTAGATCTACGCCCAGGGGAGAACGCCAAAGCATCAGCGGTCCAGTGCGGAGACAAGAAATATGCCGTCCTCCCAGCAGACGTACTCGACGAACTCCGCAAAGTATGGCAGCCTATATTCGACGACGCCGAGGACCGAGACTGGCACAAGTCCTTCAATATCTTCGGCTCTTATATCGACAAGCGACCTTGCAAGCTCGATACACTATGTCCACGAGCCTTTCACTCTGCTCTGAGACACCTGAATGTTGCCCGAGCTACGGCTGGATGCGGATTCCGCGTGTGTGAGTTGCAAGCCTTGCCTCTTCGTATCACGGCACTCTACACAGAGATGTTCACTTATATAGAGAATGGAGCAGCTTGGCCAAGTATCCTGACTGAGGTATACTGTAGCGCATTAAGGAAGCAGGCTCCCCCCGAAGCAGATGATGATAATCCTGAGTATCTCGTACTTCCTGCGGCAACACAGACCAGGATTATCTCAATTTTTTCGCCATTAATTGCTGCATGGCAACATGTGCGATGGAATGACACCACACCTTGTAGAGAGAGCTGGATGCCTGAGGCTATGCATGGGGCTCGACCTACGCACGAGGCCCAGGAGGTATCGGTTTTTCACGCCTTGGAAATGGAATCAGCTCAACTGGCAGGCTTACACGGCGCCTGCCTATCGATCGACTGGTCCAAGTTCTTCTCTACGATCCATCGCAACATCGGCAACAAGCTGATCATCGAGCACATGGACCACGAGGAGACAACGGATGGAGCACACAACTATTTCAATGCAGAGCGCAGATTGGTTCATGACGCACGTTATAGATTCAAACTCGGACGCAGTGTTGAAAAAGACAGTACACAACGACGGGCTGGGTACTTCGAGGGCCCATCTTACAGCATAGCAGTTGCATTGTCCTTGATGGCAGTCTGGACTAAGTCGGTGATGGCTAAATCATCGTGCGACACCCAAGGCTTCATTGACGACAGCAGCATTCAAAAGACATCGGCGGACACCAACAACGTGGTCCACTCGATCACGACGGCCTGGGATGTTTCAAGAGAGTTCGGCACATTGTCAGGTTGCTCTCTAAATTCCAAGAAGACGAAGATATTGACACATTCTATGTCCTTACGCAAGAAGCTCAATGCCATCTTCAGCAGCCAGGGCGCCACATTCACCAAGGCCATCATCCTAGTGGGCGGTATCCTATGTGACGGCACGACAGGTTCGCAAGCTGAACGGCAACGACTACTACACAAGCGCCACGCAAAACTTCATCATATTCTTGAACGTTTGGAGCGAGGCCCAGGTTCCTTTGAATGGCGAGAGAGATGTATGACGGTGTATGGGAGCTCAGCGGGATTTTACGGTTCAGAACTGCAGTTGCCCAATCGCACGACTTGTCAGCACCTTGGAGCTAAATTACATCGTATCCTGATGAACGGAAAGGTTATGTACCGATCTCGAGTCTCAACTTTTACTCTGGCATGTCACGGTCACTTACTGGATCCATGGCAGGCCAGCCGATACTGGGCACTCATCACTATTCGGAGGTTGATGCAAAAAAGGGCCAAACTGAAGCAGCGCTTGATCGAAGTACTCCAGCAGTACCACGAACGAGGAGCTCAGCAAGCCATCTCACACGGCCCTGCTTCGGTCCTTCTTCAAATTCAGATCTTAAGTGGAAGATCGACGGACAGCTGACTATTGAGAGATCTTCAGGTGGATTCATTTCTTTGGTAGCGGGGGATGATCTACTATGGAGACACATCATACGACAGGATCTGCGTAGACATGTATGGCGGACTGGGTATTATGTCAAAACCAAGACAGACCACCATTTTCGATCAGAATTTACAGGAGTGCTAGAGAAGTCAATCGACTACGAGGCCACAGTATCTCAATACCGCCGGCAGCGTCGCAGAAGACAAGGAGCATCCAGCGACTTCAATGGCACGACCGAGCTCACTCAATACAAATGGCCAGCCAAAAGGAGAGCAGCAGCACGTATCTTATGGAGTGGAGGCTTGATAACATCATCTCGTTTACACGCTGCAGGATATTGCTCATCGAACCTCTGCCCGTTTTGTTGGCAAGAAGAAGAAACTCCGCTTCATTCTCTATGGAAGTGCGCCCACTTTGACAAAAACAGGCAGTGGCTGTATGATAAGTATCCCAACTATGACTTCGACTCGCTTCCTGAGGCCACTAAGATTGCAGGTTTGATCCTCGACGATCCTCGCGTCGACGGTTTCTTTGCGGAGATAGCCACGCCACAATCACATGAATTACACGAAGCTCGACCTCCCGACCTCGACAGTCAAGACGAGCTCTCAGTAGACAGTGAGGGTTACGCCATCGTAGCTGGTGACGGTGCGGCGCCAGGCCAGACAGATTTCAGGCTCAGGCGTGCGGGCTGCGGTCTCTTTTATGGAGATCGACACAGTCACAACAGCACACTCGGACTTGAAGGAGTTGTACACAACGCTCAGCGTGCAGAACTTCGGAGCGCCTTGAGGTGGGCTCTTTGGAACTGGACACGGAGTATTTACTTGACTGACTCGAGTTACGTCTGTCACGGGCTCCTCAAGATCATTAATCAGCAGAAAACGAATTTCAAGTCTCACAGAGATCTATGGGCTCGGTTGCAGGCAGCAATTGAGGCCAAAGGTCACGACAACTTCAGGACACGCAAAATTCAAAGCCATCAAACTAAGGAGCAAAAAGATGCTGAATCTGAAGCAGACATGCGCCTTCGACTCAAGAACGAGGAGGCCGACAAGAGAGCCACCACAGCAGCCAGACTTCAAGCAATTGACGGCGAGTTCCTTGATGCCCACAAAGTGCGGATCAAACGAGAGCAAGACGTACAGGCCATGCTTTTGGATGTTATACAAGCACGAGCAGCCGAGGCACTAGTTCTTTTTGGGCGCAAGCCCCGCGGAGAACAACTCAATCGATACTACCAAGAGGTCCACGAGCAGCTCGATCATCCAGACCAAGAAGAATCACATCTCTGGGACCTTCATGAAGAAGATCCGTGGGGAGGGGGAATGGATGACCCAGAGGGTGATCTCGATCCTCCAGCTCCTCCGGCCCCACATCCAGCCCAACAGGTATTTGCGACTCCACGCAGATTAACAAGCAAGACCCGAACGGCAAGCTCAACAACGCCAGCCACGCCTTCGACCACTCCACCGTCAGCTTCGACACAGCCGACGACTCCTGCGACAACTTCGACACCAGCAAGAGCCCCGACCATGACAGCCACGAAGGAGGAAGTGTTCCCCCACGTGATATGGGAGCCACGTCCTATTGTGGAGCGTACACCCTGGTTGAGAGGCCGAACCTTATCAGAAGTCACATTCACGAAAAATGATTGGCAATGGAAACTTTCCAACGTGCCGGCCTTATTCTGGTATTGGTCATCCACATTCATAGACGCCGAGCCGCCAGAGATACCAGTTCAAACTACCATGGCGATCGACCAGACGAGCTCAATTATGGCAGTTGTTGACTTCACTCTCGCGACGGGAGAATACATGGGATGGCGTACACAGTCTTCAACACCATCAATCGGGACAGCTGCCAAGATGTTTACCGCTGCCAGTTCCAACCTACTCTCGCGTTTTGGTCTCGGTAATCCGATAGCCCTTATAACGGCGACGATGGAACACAGTGCCGGGGAACTGCTTTGAACATCACCAGTCGTTCAAAGCAGTGCCCCGGCACTGCTTTGAACGATGCGGAAATGCGATCAGCAGGAGCCTTCGTCTGTTCCTTCTCCTCTTCTCGTCGCTGTATGCTCTTCCTTGTCCTCCCTCCTCCCCCGTTCCCTCTCTAATTAATTACCTCGTTCTCCCAGTCTCACGCGCCCTCTTCCTCCCCCCTCTCCTCCTCCTCTTCCTGCTTCTCCTCCTCGTCCTCCTCCTCCTCCGCCTCCTCCCCCTCATTTGTTATATTTCTCCGTCCTTGTCCTCCTGTCCCCGTTCTCCTTCTCCCTCTCCTCCTCCTCCTCCTCCTCGTCGTCGTCGTCCTCCTCCTCTTCCTCCTCCTCCTCCTCCTCCTCCTCCTCTTCCTCCTCCTCCTCCTCCTCCTCCTCCTCCTCCTCCTCACCTTCTTCCTCCTCCTCCTCCTCCCCCTTTTCCTCTCCCTCCTCCTCCTCCTCCTCCTCCCCCTTCCCCCTCTTCCTCCTCTGCTATCACTCCTCCATAATTCCTGTCCGCTCCTCCCCTTCACTGATCTTCCTCTTCGTCATCATCATCCCTTTCGTCGCGCGCCTCTTAATCCTCAATCGGTTCCCAATCTTCTCGACTTTCTTGTCATCCGCGTCCTTGGCTGTTGGAGGGGCCCCAGGAATTCTCAGGGCTCTTGTGTTGCACGCGAAGGCACACCTCCCAGGAACGCATCATCCTCCTCACATTCACCCTCCTCCTCCTCATCCTCCTCCTCCATGCACGTTCGGCTCAAGCCCGCGCAGACGGTAGGTTTCACGGCGGTTGGGCGGGCTCGCGCCCGCCTCCGCGGCCTGCAGTCGGGGCAGAGATGCGTGCAGGGTGGGATGACAAAGCGGAAGAGGAAACACGGGCCGCAGTTGCGGATTCTTCCAAGAGCAGCGGCGGCGGTTGGGGAACAAGTGGGGGTTGGGGCGGCCGCAGTGGCGGATACGGCGGCGGAGGTGACCGCAGTGGCGGCTGGGGCGGCGGAGATTCTCTTGGCGGATGGAGAGGAAAAGCGCAGGATGGCGGCGACGGAAGTGACCGCAGTCGCGGATGGGAGGGCGGCGGATGGGCGGCAACGGATGCGAGGGTTGGGGAATGGAGGGCGCCCGCTGGTGGGACGACGAGGGTGGCTGGTGGAATGCATGGGAAGGTGGCCGCTCGAGTGCCTCGGCAGGTTCTCCTGCCGCGGAGCCCGCGGCCGCAACAGCGGCGGGCAAAGGAGGCGGTCCCCTGCTTCCCCAGGGCGCGAAGAACAAGGCGCAGTTGCGCTGTTTCAAATTGTGCGCAATGAGCCGCTGCCAATTTTCAAGTTGGAATTCTTCGAGAACTTCAGGGCGAACTGGAACGGCAATTATAAGCAGCACAACGCGGCCTTGAAGTGGTTCCGAGACGAGTACAAAGACCGAGAAAACCCTTTCGGCAGCCGCACGCCCGTCTTCGGAGGTACCGCAGTTGCGGAGGAAATTTCGAAGATCCTTAAGTACCGCGCAAAGGGGAAGGCGCAGGACAACAGGGATTGGGACTGGGACCACACTGTCAAAGTGCCGTGGTCTTGGCTGGAGAGGGTCGCGCAGATGGATGGACCTACAATGCTGCGCGTCGTGTGCGGCCCTGACAATGACCGCAGTCGCGGGTTGGTCCGCTGCGAGTGCCGCCCGTGCCCTAGCAGTCTCGACAACATGAGGCACACGAAAGGGGTGACAGAGGACAGGCGCAAAGAATCCCTCTGCCCCAGTGGGATTTCGTCCTCATCCGCGACGACGGCTCGGGCATTCGCGTCCACCCATCCTGGTCTAGCCCGAAGTTCAACACGTATGAGGTGGAGCCGCACTCGCATCCCGTGCGGGGCCCGAGGGCAGGTCTCGGCAAGAGCGATGGCCACGGAACTTTCACGTTCTGGAAGATGCTGCACGCCCATCCGAATCCTGGGCGGTTCGACGCGAGCAAGGGGGCGCAGCTGCAACCGCGGTGGTCCGCGCAGCCTTGACCCCGCAGTTGCGGGATTGCGCAGCCATGGAACCGCAGTTGCGGGGACCGATCGCGTGACGCCGCGCTCGTTTGACTCACTATGCGCGCTTTCGGCCGCAGTTGCGGCGCTGCCTTCTAGCGACTTCATACAGCTTTGCCGCAGTTGCGGCGCTCCCACGACTGACCGCTGTAATTAGGTGCTTCGGGCGCGCATCACCTCCGTTGAAGCACTCGTGACGTTAATTAGCGCGGCCGCAGTTGCGGAGACAGGTACTTAAACAGATGGATCCGCAGTTGTTCGTCGTCCTCGTCGCCCCTTCCCCGTCGTCCTCGTCGCAGTCTCCTCCCTCCGCCTTTCCTCCTCGTCGAAGTTCCTTCCGTTGGCCGTAGCCCGCCTCCGTTGGCCGAGTCATTTCCCGTCGTCCTCGTCGCAGTCCCCCCCGAGGGCCGCAGTTGCGGACTTTGTTGATTCCTCCTCCTCCGTTTCTGCCCCGTCATCCTCGTCGCAGTCCCCTTGCTCCTTTCACCCTCGTCTGAGCTCTTCGCGCCATCCTCTTCCGTCGCGTCCTCTCCATCCTCCTCTTCGCCTTCCTCGTCCTCATCCCCGCCGTCTCCCTCGTTGTCCTTCCTCTCCCAAGCCGGCCGCAGTTCCCCCGTCGGACGGGGGCCGCGCGCGGCCACGCCATGGACCCAGGTCGCAAAGCCGAGGTCGACAAGCGGTTCGCCGAGCTGAAGCAGCAACTGCGGGAAAGGTTCGGCCTGCAAGGGGCTGCCGCGGATGCCGCAGTCGCGGAGCCGACGGAGGACCGCAGTTGCGGAAGCCCCGAGCGACCGCCGCGCGAGGCCTCCCCGCAGTCGTCTAGCTCCTCGCGGGAATATCGGCCGCCGCCGCCGATAAGCGCTGCGAGTGGGAGCTCTGCTGGTGGGAGGCGCGAAGAGGCGCAGTTGCGCAGGGCGCACTTGACCCCCAAGGCAAAATGGGGGCCTCGGGCGCAGACGCCGACGAAGCAGCAGGACCAACCAGCAGTGACGGGAGCCGCCACCGAGACCGCAGTTGCGGGGGTGGCCGGCGAGCCAGGTGCCGCGCGCGGCTCATCTGGGAGCAGCGCGCCCTCGGCCGTGCTGCTCGCAGCCGAGTCCAAACGAGGCGCCCAACCCGAAGACGAGGCCGCCTCCCAGGAGAAAGCCGCCGAGACAATCGCCTCGGCCGATTCGCGGCCGAGGAAAAGGCCGCCTCCCACGGAAGGCTCGCCGCTGTCAGAACCGCAGTCGCGGGGTCGCGCGGGGCCTCCGTCGGAACCGCAGTTGCGGGAAGATGCGGGAGCACCGCGGAAGAAGCAGCGGACCAGGTCCCCTCCAGGGATAAACTACGTTGGGGAACGCCCCAAGTGGAACGAAGGATTCCTTCGTACAGCAGACGGCAATCGGGTTCCGTCCACCATCGCTTTGGTGTTCAACGTGGTGGTCATCACGAAGGTGGCAACAAAGGAAGATGTCTTCAGGTGCATCTTGCACCAAACTGCGGCGGTCGTCTTCGTCGTATGGGACCCCGAGCTGTTCCGCACGGGGAACGTCGAAGGCGCTTGCAGCTACGACGTTCCCGTTGGACTCAGGACTGCCGTCGAAGACGCTGTCACTTTGAAAAACAACACCGCGGAGCCTTACTGGACGACGGTTGGCCTGTTCAGAGACACGGGCGTGGTGCTCGTGCGCCCGCACATCATCGCAGAGACCGCAGTTGCGGGTCATGTTGTTGGGGCCACCCACGCCGTCACGATCCTGCGCTTTCGCCTGAAGGGCTCCGACATGAATCCTGCCGCGGTGATCCGTTTTGCCGTCGTGTCCAGACACGCAGTCACCGAACGTCTCCAACAGAAGATCACGCAATCAGAACAAACAGCGTGGCATCCAAGTTTCTTCAAGGACGCGGTTGCTTCCATCCATAAAAATGATGTGCGGTTCTTGTGCGGCCTGTTTGACATCCCGCCTGAGCAGCTCCAAGCATTTGGCCGCAGTTGCGGAGCCAGCTACACCTGCCCGATGGGGGTGGTGCTCAGGGCTGGACCCGCCCTGTTCGGAGGCCTTGTGGAGGGCACACGCGTCCTGCATCCGAATTACGTCCTCCCCATTGGCCCGTGCGACGTGCGCATTGCGGACTACAACGCGGATTATGCAGGGAGGCCGTCGAAGAACGATCCCCAGTGGCTCCCTGATTGGATGCATCGAACAAGCGACTCCATCATCTCTCGGCGCTGGGTCCCAGCGAAGTACATGCCCAAGTGGGAGGATGACCCTGACCGCAGTAGCGGAGTCAGAAGAAAGCTCGGCTTGGCAGCGCTGCCCCCAATCGGCAAGGTCATTCAGAAGGAGCTCAACGAGAAGACCTTCAGCACGCACTGGTGCGAGGGCATCCACCAAAACGTCGTCTTCGTCGGCCACGGACGCCAGAGTCGGGCGAGCAAGCGGAAGCACGAAGAGGCGCGATCTGCCGCAGTTGCGGACGAGCGGTGAGTGCGGCAAGACCGAGGAGCCGCAGTTGCGGAACAGAACTCGGTACTACTGGGCGCCTGCTGCCTGCGTAGTGCATCCCATTAGCGATGGAGTGCATGTTGCGGTGTAGGATAGCCCGCAGTTGCGGGGTTGCGGTTGCGAAGCCGCAGTTGCGGTTGCGTATAATAGGAGAGCACGCGGTTGCGAAGCCGCAGTTTGCAATAATTAAGTGTGCGCGCGCTGGGTCATCATCATCGTCGTCGTCCGTCCTCGTCGTCGTCGCTGCCGTCGTCGTCGTCGCGTCTGTCGTCTGTCGTCAGCAGTCGTCGTCGGTCGTCGTCGTCGTCAAGTCTGTCGTCTGTCGTCAGCAGTCGTCGTCGTCGTCGTCCCTCCTCCCTCCTCCCTCCTCCCTCCTCCCTCCTCCCTCCTCCCTCCTCCCTCCTCGTCCTCCTCCAGGCCGCATCCCCCCGCCACCTCCGTCCTAGCTCTCCTTCCCCTTCCCCTCCTCGTCCTCCTCCAGCTTGCACCCCCCTCCCTCCTCCAGCCTGCGCCCCCCCCAAGCTCTCGCCCGATATTTTGGATTAAAACTGAGCCTTCAGTCGTCCGCAGGCATTCGGCTCAGCAGGTCGTTGGGCTCCTGGCACACACGCCTCCACCCTGAGCGACGGACGTCGTGCCATAGTCCGCCATATCGGAGCTCCGGGCCGCAGTGGCGGACAGCGTCGGCACAGATATGAACGACAGCGTCGGCACAGATAATGCCGCAGTGGCGGACAAGAAAGCCGCAGTGGCGGACGAGACAGCCGCAGTTCCAGGCGGAACGCAAGGGATCTTTCAGAGGGCCAACGCCTTGAGGTCTAGATTCAGGACAGGGGACAAGGTGCGCCTCCCTGTGCTCATGCTCGCCCCGCACACGGGCAACCGAGGCGGGCACTACCCTCAGCAGGAAAGGGTTCGGGAACTCGCTGTGAAAATCTTCCTGGCTGGATTCACGCAAGCCGAAGCTGACCACGAAGGTGTCTGCGTTCAGATGTACCCAGCACAAGAGCTGGTGCTGAGAAAAAAGGAGGACCCGAAGTTCCAGACGTACACAGAGTACAATCTGGAAAAAGCGACCGGCCACCTCGCTGCGTGCTTCGACCGCAGTTGCGGAACAGACGTTGCGTATGGGACGTGTTCGCACTCCCACTTGTGCCTCGTGTTGCGGGCGTGCGCCCTGGGAGCCAAGTGGCCCATCCCCCAAGGCATGGAGTTCACGGAGGACGAGAGCGCGAGGCTGAAGCGCGTGCTCGATAAGGACGGCAATCTCGACATGGCCGCAGTGGCGGAACATGACCCTGTCGCTAAGAAACTCGTGCAGGGGGGTATGCTCATGGAAGTGCTTAGCTGGAAAATCATGGACGAGGAACCCACTGGTGCTTCGCTCATCAGCCAGTCCCTCAATAAAGGAGCCGATTTTGCGTTGCGAACGACTGAACTCACCGCGCTCCGTGTTCTGTGCAAGGCTGTTGACGCGGAGCTGCACGCCGCAGTTGCGGATCAGGTTGCCTTTGACAAGGTCAAGCTCTCCGTCATGCACGAACTCGATCGAGTCGTTCAGGACCCAGACTTCATTGAGCTGTTCTCGTTCGTTGTTGGGCTCGGGAGCACGAAAGCGCAGTTCATCCCCTTGCTGCTCCAGTTCTGCGAGGTCTACGTGAACTCCAGGAGAAGGGCCCTTCGGCTCGGTGCCTTCGGGGCAGCCAGCGAGCTTCCCGACGAAGTGCCGTGGGTCAAGGTTGCCGTGGTGATGCGATGCTACAGGAACGCGCCTGCGAGGAAGAGGGGCGTTGACACTCCTGTGTGGTGCCCTGACCCAGAACAATCGTGGAAGAAGAAGGAGTTCCGAGACTTCCTCATCGACATGAACTCGGCTCTCCGTTTGTACTTGTTCACGCTGAGCAAGGCCATCGACGGCATGGGCCCTGAGAAGGCGATCGAGTTCAAGGCGAACCTGTGCATACTGACCGCAGACGGCTTCATGCAGTACCTGAAGGACACCCACGTCAAGGAACGAAGTATCCCAGGACATCGTCAGGCGCTCCTCCGCGCTTGCGCGGAGGCCACGGGGAAGGTGGAGCCGAAGTCCAATCGGGACGCCCTTGAGAAGGCCCTCGGCGAAGTGGGAGTCGGAGGCGGGAAGCCCGATTGGTTCGATTTCAACGCGTTGCCGCGCCCAGAACCGAATGAGCCCGCAGTGGCGGGGAAGACAAAGGCTTCCGCAGAGGGGCACGAGTTGATGCCGACGGTCATTTCCTTTGACCCCACGACGCAATTACCAACGAACCACCAGCGCAGCAGGGACACGACGGCCATTCCACGCGGATCCTTCCCTTTGCCAATCGCCGAATGGAGGCGTTCAGCGGCAGCGAAGGAGCTGGGGCGGGAGCCTGCTTTGGTCAGCGCAGTGTTGCTGTGCCTTTGGGCGCGCCACATGTCCGCAGTTGCGGAAGCGCAAGTAGAGGTGTTGCAAGACGCTGACACAGAGAAACGCACCGTCAAGGCAACCGCTGCAAACGACGAAAAATGCATCGAGTTGTGGCCGTGCGTCCCAAAGGCATCCAAGGTGCACGCCGCAAGCACGCACCCCGAGAGGGTGGCCGTGCAAGTCTGGGTGAAAGGAGATCCAAATGGGGCCACGCCCACGACCTTCTACTTGCACCCCGAGTTCAAGCCGCCTGCGGACAAGACGCCCGCCGACGTGGCTGACCACGATGTGCGGTTGAGAGCATGGAAGTGGGATGCGCAAGAGACAATGCACGTCTTCTGGGCAGTCAACAGAGTCACGGAACAGGAGATCCAGCAGAGAAACAGCCGTAATGAAAGCGCAGTTGCGCGCATCAACATGGAGCTGGAGACGAAAGAATTGGCGGTGTGCGTGCCTGGGACAGGCGGGGTCGTGCTCGCCGTGAATGTCCCTGTGCTGGTGAATACCACGGCCGTGAAGAAAGGAGAAGAGCTCCTGTGGGAGGCGAGACCCAAAACCGCACCGAAGAAGAAGGCGGCCGAGGAGACGTGGAAGACGGACGCGGCCAAGAGGGCCAAAGGGAAGCCTTCGGGCCAGCCCGCGCCGAAGAAATCGAAGAAAGGGTTCGACGAAAGCGGGAAGATGTCGCTCTAATTAAGAAGCCGCAGTGGCGGCAGTCAGGGCGGCTTGCTCGCGTGACCGCAGTTGCGGGCAACAGGCCGAAGGGGGGGGCGCACGCGTGACCGCTGTTGCGGAGCGCTCGTGTAGTTTGCAGTGTCACTGCTTCTGTTAGCTGATGCCGCAGTAGCGGACCGCTGACGATCGAGCACGGAGGTTCGAAACGGACCTCCTCCCTCCCTTCTCCCTCTCCTCCCTCGCCCTTCCTCCACTTCCTCCCTCTCTCCTCCTCCTTTCTCCCCTTCCTCCCAAGTTGGAAGCCGAAACTACTCATTTCCTCACTCCCTCCCTCCCTCCCTGGAGGCCCTGGAGGGCCTCCGCCCTGGAGGGCCTGGAGGGCCCTGGAGGCCCTGGAGGGCCTCCCTGGAGGCCCTGGAGGCCCTGGAGGGCCTCCCTGGAGGCCCTGGAGGGCCTGGAGGGCCCTGGGCTGAGGGCGGAGGCCCTGGAGGGCCTCCGCCCTCAGAATGCTTCAAAGCAGTGCCGCGGCACTGCTTTGAAGCACCCAGGTGCTTCAAAGCAGTGCCCCGGCACTGCTTTGAAGCATTCTGAGGGCGGAGGCCCTCCAGGGAGGCGCGAGGATCGCAGGGACCGAGGGAGGCCCTCCAGGGAGGCGTTCGTCTCGCCATCTGGCTCAACCGCGCGCGGCCCCACTGCCCGCACCTCCGCCTTGCCCGCAGTTGCGGCTGTGTCCAGCGCAGTAGCACACATGCCGACTTCGAGCGAATGGAGCCCTGTGTGCGTTGAGAAGGTCTTGTGCATCCGTGGAGGTTGGCTTGCGCAGACCACCCCCATCCCCGAAAAGGATGTCAAGGTGCTCCACGCAGGGCCCCTCGGAGAGATAAGCTTCGTGCACGTGAACATGCAAAAGGCTTGGCTGCTCAAGGTGTGCGCCAAAGGTAAACCGACCGCAGGGGCCTTGAAGGCCTCCAAGGCCTGGGACGCGCTGAAGAAAGAACTCGCGAAGCAGGGCGGCGCCGCAGTTGCGGACGAGGAGAGCGACGGCGACGCGGGGGACGAAGCAGATGACCCCATGTCGGCCCTGGTCAGCTCCACGGACGCCACGAAGAAGCAGGCAGCGACCCCGACCAGCGCCAAGAAGCAGAAGACTGGAACGCGTGCGGCGACTACTGGCCTGCCCAGGGGCGAGGCCGTGGAGTCGGCCATAGCCACTGTGCACTCCGTACAGATGCCCGCAAAGAGCCCCATGAAGTTTCCGCACGACACGGCCGTTCGAAACGTGCGGGTGGCCAGCTTCAAGCGGAGGACGTTGTGGCTGGACGCTGCAGACCTTGGGTGGCTGATCGACATGATCGTGGACGACGTGAGCCTCGGCGGTGTCCCCGACATCGACGACGGCGACAAGGACGAGGCCGCAGTGGCGGACAGGGACTGGGCAACGGCGGTTGACCCTGCCACCCCGCTGGCGAAGCAAAAGGAGGTCGACTCCCCCGTGGCGCAGGGGAGCGGCTCTGGCTTCACCGTCGTTTGGGACTTCAAGGGCGCTTGGGTCGCGACCATCACGCGAGAGTGTGCCAACAAGGGCAAAAGGATCGAGATGGATGTGAAGAAACTTACAAAGAAGAAGTGGCAGTCGGCGCAGTCGGTGAAGGGCTACGACTACGAGTGGGAGGGCATGACGCAGCACCAGCGCAAGCAAGCGGCTCTGGATTACCTCGAGCTCCAAATCCCCAGTCTGTTCGACTGAGGCCCGAAGCCGTATGGGCCGCAGTTGCGGTGGGGCTACTGAGTGCCCGCAGTTGCGGGGTGGCTGGGTGCGCGTGAACACGCGGAGGGCGAGGCGGTGTGAGGAGGCAGGCGGAAGGTTTAGGGTGTTCCACGGGTGCACGCCTTAGTGCGCCAACTTGTGTGGGCGAGCGTTTTTCTTAGAGAAGCATGGAGTGAAGCATCGAAACCCTGTGCGCGCGATGATTGGGGCTTCCGCGCGGGCGTTGTTGAAATGTACCTCCTTCTTCGCCCCTCCGCATCGTCTTCAGTTGCTCCTCCCTCCTCCCCTCCCTCTTCCTAGTTCTGTAGCCCGCAGCCGAGTGCCCGGCCCGAGTCGTTCGCCACGCGACCGCTCATGGATGTTCCCGTGGGGCGGACATGGTATGGCGAGGAGGACGGAACGCATTTCGAGGTGGAGTGGCTCCATTACGACAGCGGCTGCGCACCGAGGAAAACGAAGTATGGCACCACTGGGCTCGCCAACATCTTGAGCCGCAGTAGCGGCGTTCCGTGCCCCAAGAAGATAAAGGTGCACGCATGTGCGGATTTTCCGTGCCTAGCGAAGTGGCCCGCGTCGCAGTACGGCCTTGCTGAGCCGCCTCGCTTTCATTTGCGGCCGTCTGCTTGGCGACCGGGCGCGACGCCACCACCCGCAGTTGCGGCTCCAGGCGGCACCGCAGTTGCGGCTCCCTCGGCCCCTGCACACATAGCACCAGCAACACCAGCAGAACTCGCAGCTCCTGCGCAAGAAGGACACGCAGCTCCAGCACCAGAAGCACCCGCAGAACCCAAACCTCCAGCAGCCCCTGTGCCCGAAGCACCCGCAGCAGCAGTCCCTCCAGCTCCTCCAGCTCAAGTGCACGCAACACCAGACCCGCCTGCTGCGCAGGAGACCGCAATTGCGGTTGAAGCTCCTGAGGGAGTGGAAGCGGACAAAGACACACCACTTCCAGCACGCTTGCCACCAGCGCGGCCGCTGCCAGAGAACTGGTCGAAGACGCAGGTCGCATTCTTCCCGTGCCCAGACCCAAAGGCTGCAGCACGAGTTGCGGCGCCTGTTGGCGACGCCTTGCGGCCACGAGTCGCGGCGCCACCCCTGGCGCCAGAGAAAGGTGTACCTGTGGAAGACGCGCCAAAGATCCAGGCCGCAGTGGCGGCGACGGTGCCTGACCGCGTGATGGCTCTCCTGAGGCAGATTCTGTCCGAGAATTCCTACATAGGGTATTCAGCTTTCATGCTGTTTGCCTTGCGGTTCGGGCGTCAACCTTACGTGTGGGAAGGCGAGAACCGCAAGGACCTCCTTGACTTCTACATGCCTTGGGCAAAGGAGAAGTGCACTGAGCCATGCGCCGTCGACGGCGTGGCGTGCGTACTCGCCGCTGCTGAGGATCTGTTCGGGGAATGGACAACGGTGGAACTCAGGCCCGTGACTCCCGAGAACCCTCTCCATGAGGTGCGCCACTGGGTGGCCGCAGTTGCGGTGGGTGGCGTGTGCTCTGAGGGGGCGGACGCGTTGAACAGGTTCTACGGTCCTCTGGGACAATGGGTCCTAGGGACTGTTTGCGATGGAAACTGCGGCATTGACCTTATGGCGATGATGTTGCAGAAACCGCAAAATGCCGAGACGCGCAAATGGCTTCGGGAGGAACTGTACGATTTCGGGGTGCGCCGCTGGGACGAACCGTGGTTGCACGACATGCTCGTTGTCACGCAGGAACTAACCTTGGAGGAGGTGCGGGCGTACCGCAGTTGCGGGGCCAGCGGCCCTGCTGGACCCATGGTCCTGCACGACTCCGAGGGCGAGGGCGAACCAGCAGAGGCGCCGAGAGAGGCGAGCGCGCCACGCCCCGCTCTCATGGCGGCGTTAGAGTGGCAGACGGGCGTGCAGGACATGGGTATATTGCTTGCCATGGCTGAGGCTATGCCCGAGGCGTTGCAGGAGGAGCAGATCAGGGCGCACGCACTGGCCAGCGCACGCCCAAAACCCGAAGTTGCGGAACAGAAGCGGCGCGTGTGCCCGCACATGCTCAGAGACCGCGAACTGGTTTGCAAAGACCTGGAGGCGCACGCACGCAGTTGTGGTTGGATGGGCGAGGGCGTTCTGCCACGGAATTCAATCGCGTCTTTTTGCGAGCGGTTCA